TATTGTCTTCTCTGATCCTTGCTACAGTCCTGAGGTAATAGGAACAGAGGAAGAGACCAAGGCTCAGAGAAAGCGGTTTTTTATCTTTCAGTGTTTGGCCCTGGGACATGTGGTTAGTGGCTGAGGTGAAGGTCAGGTGATTGAGATAGACAGGGCTTGTGCCAGCTGGAGACCGAAGTCCTCCTGTCCTTCACGTCTCCCAGTTTCACAGCATTCTCGCCGTTTCACAGCTCAGAACAATGAGGCTCAGGGAGGTCCAGCAACCCACTCGGGCTGACTCAGTGATGATGGAAATGGGTCTCGTATCCTGTTTGACTCCAAATCCAGTGCTCTTGCAAGATCTCTGGCAGAAGTACCAGAACTGGCCTGGCTGGGGAAGTCACCTGCGGGAACCAAAAGCCAGAGACAGGCCCTGGGGAACAGGGGCTTGGGGTAGGGACAGAGCTGAATCAGGTCTCTAGTCCTCAGGACAAGCTTGAGTTCAGATCTCAACCCAACCAGAGGGGTGGGTGCAGGGGGAAATGCTTGAGGGAGAGGGCCCTCTGGGGAAGAGGGATCCTAGGGCTGAAGGGATGGGAAGAGAAAGGAAGGACACCAGGCGGCACCCCCAAACCCCACCACGCCCAGCAGGGACTCCTCCAGCTCCTGCTTGTGGTCAGGGATCATCTCTAGACACATTCTGGCCCCAGGGCCACAAAGAAGCAGGTGAGGCCCTGAGCAGGTGCCCGAGCCAATCAGTGGACCCCTGTACCTGCCACAGAAGTGGCCAGGTGTGAGCAGGGGCCCCATGCCAGTGAGGGTATTAAATGAGCTTCCAGCTTATCTGCATGTCCTAATTAACCATCAGATGAGCCCCAGGGGCGGCATTAAGCTGTCAGTTTCTCTCTGCTTCCTTCCGTTACCTCCCCTCACAGAGGGCTCCCCACCCCTCCACTCCTGAGTCACTTATGCCCCAGGACTTCCCCTTCACCTCTTCCTTCGGCTTCTGTAAAATATAGTCTTCATCATTGTCCTGGCAGGAGCCCAGAAGGGAAGGAAAAGAAAGATAATGGGGCGGGCAGGGGGCAAACAGATTGGCCCTAACCTTTCACTAGTATAGCGTGACAAGGGGCAGGGCGCTACATCAGCCCTTCAAGACCCGGACAGAATTCCACCACGGCAGCCGGCATTCCGTGTGTTCTCCGTGCATGGCTAATGCGGGGAGGATGGGTTTTGTTGTTGTTCCTCTTGACCTGGCTTCGGCGTAGATGTGGACGGTCTGCGGGGCAGTGTGAAAAGCGCAAGCCTGCAAGTCAGTTGGAACTGATTCAATCCCAGCTCTGGCACTGGGACCCTGGGCAAGCTGCTTAACTTCTCTGAGCCTCTCCATGTAAAATAAGGGTAACAGCAGCCACTTACAGGATGTGGGAGAAGGAAATAAGAACACGAAGATGACAGTGCCCAACACCTGTGAATTTCGTGGCAGCAAATGTCACTGATGGTTTCGTTCTGGCCCAAGGTAAATTGAGTTTTCATTCCCTCAGATCCCTCTGGTGACCCAATGGGTTAAGAGTTGTTTCTTTCTTCTTCCTGGACCCCTTGAGTCAGGAACCGGGTCCTTGTCATTGCTCTGTCCTTAGTTCCCATCGCACTGTCTGGCACTGGGAGGTGTTCATAAAGTTTTGCTGACTTGGTCTGAATCCACAAAACAGATGTGTCACAGATGAATGGCTGAGAGGTGACTTGGTGTCCGGTAGAATCATTTCCAATTCGGAGCTAGCACCTTCTTGAATAATTGCTGGATAGCTTTTCCACCACCCAGCAGCCCATGGCTCCCTTTTCTCGGGACTCAGTGAATCTGTAGGTGGACCCCTCACACGCACACGTTCTACACATGCGGGCACGCACACATCACCGCCCCCACCCAAGGCAGCCACAGCCAATGGATCTCCACTCAGGACTGAAGTTTCAGAGTTCTGTGGGGAGACCCAGAGGACAGGCAGGAGCTTGCTCCTCCAGAAACCGCTTGCTCAGTTGGCAAACTCCAGGGAGAAGAGAGGAAAGGACAGGGGCTTTGGAGCCAGACATCCCTCTGTTTTAAATCTTGGTTCTTTCATTTGCTAGTAGCCTGATATGGGCAGCCTGCATGACCCCAAAGAGCCTCCATTGAATTACCAGGTATTTACAATACCTTCTAGGGTCCTTCTGAAGTTTGAAAGATACGTTGTGCATACTGTCTGGCAAACAGCTAGCGTTCAAAAAAAAAAAATTAAGCAGCTTTTCTTTTGTAGCTTCCACCACCAAAAACTTAACACCTACAATTTGACTGTGTGGGAATTTCAGAGTGACCCTAAGCACCTCCCAACCGGAGTTGTGGGGCTGCTCAGCCTAAGCCCCCTCACCCCCATTTCTGCCCCTGGGGGTCCAGGATTCAGGAAGAGCCTTTCTGGTTACTTTTCCTCTCCAATTTGCTATTAAATACTCTGAGGGCAGGAAGGCGTCTTGCCTCTAATTACAGCTGTCACCCCCTATTAGGCAGAGGGGAGCTAAGCCAGGAGGAGGCGAAGGAGGAGAGAGGGACTGCCCTCCCGGGCTGGCTGGGCGCAAACAGGCACCCACATTGTTTTT